TTCCAGTCACAATGCATCATTGACTAGGTTTTTGCTTTAATTCATTGTATAATTGTGAACTGACCACTGTTTCCACATGCGCTTTCTACGAAACTCAGCTGACGTGTGTAAATTCAGTGGCGCCACACCTAAATGCATCCTTTTTCAAACAGGGGCCAGTTTAAACACCTTGGTACCTAATATTTGCATTGGTTCCTTACACGATTGGCTAATGATTAATGGAAACATTAACTGACTCAGTTTAAAAATTTAAACAGTAGCACGTTTCGTTTTCCCATTCTGGGTATTTGCTTTTCAACCTCAAATATGCAGGATACACAGTATGCTCTTAGATGTGGTGTGGGAAAGAAATTGAACATCTCAGATGAATGACTTCAGAAATGCCATGACTTGTTTAGCCAAGCATGGCTACCATGCGAAACACAGGAAGATCTCACAACAAAATCCATTGAGATGGGTTACTTTGTAGTTGATGCTGGTTAAAGGGAGAAATGTTGTTCATGAGACCGATTTTTGACCAGCTCATTGAATGGCTGGATGGGTTCCTCAGATCGCTGATGGTTGACAGAGGAGTTGCCAACTCTGCTCAGAGTATTCCTGGAGATTTTATCAAAAATGCATTCTGCTTCTAACATTCCTGTCCTTCAACTATTTTGCCTTTGGTCACTCAACATAACCATGTTCATGGCCAACTCCCACCTCCCAGTAAATGGAAAGCAACCAGGTGTAACGTTACAGAGATAGTAGGAACTGCCGATGCTGGAGAATCTGAGATAACAAGGTGTAGAGCTGGATGAACACAGCAGGCCAAGCAGCATCAGAGGAGTAGGAAAGCTGATGTTTCGGGTCGAGACCCTTCTTCAGAAAAAAGAAAAAAGGGTCTGAAGAAGGGTCTCGACCCGAAACGTCAGGTTTCCTGCTCCGCTGATGCTGCTTGGCCTGCTGTGTTCATCCAGCTCTACACCTTGTTATTGCAGGTATAATGTTAGCCCATTGGATAATTGTTAATTGTCACAATAAGTTCCTATTCGGCCTGTCCTCCCTGTCGTAAAAGGAAATAGTTCTGAAGGGGTTAATGTTCATATTACATTGGTTTAACCCATTATACTGATATCATACGCAGTCTGGGCGGGGGTACAGAGTTTCTACTATCGTTTTTGGAGAGAACAATGCATCTGAATCAGCTCTTTAAAGTTCTAGTGATTATGTCTGACTAAATGTAGTTGTACTTTTGATGTTAATGAGCCTTATTTTTAAAGAACAGCTCTTGCTCTTTATCTACTCTTCGGTGGTGTATCCTTTGCTACTATTTGCTCGGTAACTCAAGACAAAAGAGGATTGGTGTCCTTGGACTACCTCAAACAACCCTTGCCCAGTACCACATACTGGTAGAGGAAGCAAATATCAAATACCACAAAGTACCAGGGTAGTCATCTTGGAAAACACCACACAGTTGCAGTGGTGCAGATCTTCATTATGAAGAGAAGAAATCCAAAAGGCCCAGAAGTAAGAAAAAAAATACTGTAGCAAGTGAGTTTACCATTTTAAAACCAAAGTTGCAGTGAGAACCTCCAGCAGCTGTGGAAACATCAATGAGGCAAGCAGAGCACTCCAAAGGCAAAACCCCACTCATAAGTTGGTAAGAAAAGCTGGGAAAAGAGTGTGGCTAGAAAGCGAGAGAGAAGGTAGCCATGAGTAGAAAATACAGAGACTTTAGTGAAAAAGGCTCTGCAAAGGAACAAGTAAAGGCTCCAGGAGATATAGTTAAGAGATCAGTTAAAGATAAGGGAAGAATTGGATGGCACAAAGACCAAAAAGGGAAGGCAATCGAGTGTAAAGGAGCTTTCTCATCTCTCACAATGAGCATCACCACCATTGGCTTTGGACTGTAGAGGTTCAACTGCAAGGAACAGTGAAAGGTACAGAAAAGAAACTTTGATTAAGCCTACAGAGTAGTGAAGACCTCAGAGATGAAAATTTGAGCTGAAAATGATCCAATTTAAAGAAATCTACTGAAAATGTTTGCAGAAGAAGGAAAGTCAGGAAAAATGGAAGATTTGAAAGGACTAATAAGCTGCAATCAGGATAATCAGGGTAATAATCAGGAATTAAGCTGCAATTTTGGTAGGATGATTTATAAAGGTTCTGGTCACCGACCTTTATTTAAAAAATTGAGTGGAAGAAAGTATTTGATGTTTTAGACCTGAAGAGATGAGACTACTTGTTACAGGTAGTGGACGATGCATCTTGGCCTCCTCCAGTGATCCCCAACATTACAGATACCAGTCTTCAGCCAATTCGACTCACTCCACGTGATATCAAGAAATGGTTTGAGACATTGGATACTGAAAAGGCTATGGATCCTGACAACATTGCAGCAGTCTTACTGAAGACTGGCGCTGCTCCAGAACTTGCTGCTCCCCTATCCAAGCTCTTCCACAGTTACAACGTTGGCATCTACCCACTAATGTGGAAAATTGCCCAGGCATGTCCTGTACACAAAAAGCAGGACAAATCCAACCCGGCCAATTACTGCCCCATCAGTCTACTCTCGATCAGTAAAGTGACGGAAGGTGTCATCAACCATGATATCAAGCAGCACCTGCTCAGAAATAACCTGCTCAGTGACATCCAGTTTGGGTTCTGCCAGGGCCACTCAGCTCCTGATCTCATTGCAGCCTTGGTCCAAATGTGGATGAAAGAACTGAATTCCAGAGGTGAGGTGAGAGTGACAACCTTTGACATCAACGCTGCATTCAACCTAGTGTGGCATTAACAAGTCCAAGCAAAATGGAATCAATGGGTATCAGGGGGCAAACTCTCTGCTTATTGGAGTCATACCTGGCACAGAAGATGGTTGTGGTTGTTGGAGGTCAGTCATCTCACCTCCAGGATATCTCTGCAGGAGTTCATCAGGGTAGTGTCCTAAGCCCTACCATCTTCAGCTGCTTCATCAATGACCTTCCCTCCATCATAAGGTCAGAAGTGGGGCTGTTCGCCGATGATTGCACAATGTTCAGCACCATTCGTGACTTCTCAGATATTGCTTCAGTATCTGAGGAAAGGTCAGTTCTGAGGAAGGGTCACTGGACCCGAAATGTTAACTGTGATTGTTCTTCACAGATGCTGCCAGACCTGCTGAGCTTTTCCAGCAACTTCTGTTTTTGTTCCTGATTTACAGCATCCGCAGTTCTTTCGGTTTTTATTTAGTATTTAACTGACTTCCAGAAACAAACTGTGTTCGACTAGTTCATCAAGAGGCAATCAGTGGAAGATTTAATTATAATAAAAGCAAAATATTTAGGTTGCTGGAATTCTAGGTTGCTGGAAATCTGAAATTTAAAAAAAACAGAAATCCCAGCAGGTCTGGCAGCATCTGTGGAGAGAGAGAAACAAGAGTTATTGTTTTGAGTCTGGTCTGACTCATCATCAGAACTGAAAGTAGAAAATTATGGTTTTTGTGGTTGTGACAGAGGAGGAGGGAACAAGATCGAAACAGATTGTGAGCATATCCAGAGCAAAAGACAAAGTGAGTGATTATGGTAGTAAAGGAGTGATAGAAATATAAAATAGGTGTAAATGTAGCTGTGAAAAGGAGAAATTGGGTCTGCTCTGCTGAGATGCTTCTTACAGCAGAATCCTGGAGATTGGTCTTTAATTCTTGAAGATTCCAGAAAAATACTAGAAAGTTCACAATCCAAGTTGACATCTCTTGACGTTAACGCAATTCCTCAGTACTGCAATGTCCTCTCAGTCAAGAATATATCCTCACACTTTGAAGTGGAGTTTGAATTCACTGTTGACTCAAAGGTCCAGCCAAATTAGTGCAATCCCTGGCTTCTCGCTAGGCACTGACCGCTATCAACTGAGATGACTGGTGGAAGTGTAGGTGTTTCCTGATCCTGATCACTAGTCAGTGCGTATCTGCTGGAAAGTGTATCAGTCAATATTGTGTGAGAGGATAATCAGGCTTGGGTTCTGGAATAACTTTGCTGTCTGGGCCCTTCTGAATTGCAAATTGCAGGTGAGTAAATAAAGCTTACTTCTCACTGAGCAAAACAATTACAGAATATCCTTAAGCTGGAACAACACATGGTGAAGTGTTCCTGTAAGTAGACACATCGTGTGCCTCTTGTTAAACTGAGAGGAGAAATGGTGAACCATGATTATGTGCATCTATATTTGTCAATCATGCTGCAACCTTTGGCTATATTGTAGCTAGAAACAATGAACTTTCTATAAATTGACACCTGCGATGCGTCATGGATTGAGGTGAAGTTTCCTGCCATTGAATGCCTTCACTAGCCAGTTCCTGCTGTGGTGTTTGTTCTATTGCTTTGGAGGTCACTCATTGATAATTCTGTTGCTCTGTTGTGCTAAATTCTCAGTGAATGTGGATTTGGTTTGTGGTCTTCATCTGATGCCACAATCCTTTCTGCATTTTAAAGCAGCCAGCTGACCTTTGACCAATGCCATTTTCAATGCTGTTGCTTGGCAGTAGGAAGTATTACATGAGCATGGCATTGATCAATGAGTCTTCACCCTGAACTATTCCCCAGCTCCCTTCGATCCCCAGGATTTCAGTAAAGTGTAATGACAGTTGTGTGAAACTTCCAATAATAGGGTCCCACTAAAACAACACTCAATTGTTATCAATTCAATTACTGATTCTGACCTCCCATGTATCGTTGTGGCTGGAGGCAGTGTCATTAGAATGATGTGTTATTGGTGATGGGGGGAACATCTTTAGGTGGTGAATTAAGGATCTCTCACCATGTGTATTTGCTGAAGTGTGTTTATTCTTAAAGAAAGAACTTGTATTTATATAGAATCAGTCAGGATCTTGAAATGTCCCAAAGTGCTTTACAGCCAGTTAATTACCTTCTGCAATGTAATCACTCACCCTTTGGGCTGCAGTTGACTCCAGTATCTGACTTGGAGCGCTGCTCTTTTGTGGGCGTGCCCCTCCCTGTTTGGTTCATGTGTCTCCTGCTCCACAGAGTAATTCTGATGTTTCTGGTAAGCAGGAGAGACAATGGCACAAAGGACTTGGGATCACCAACACTCTCTGTGAAGGTCAACTGTATGCTGAATGCAGCGGAGCTGGAGCTGGAATTGCCTGGTGGTGATGCATTTGTGAATGATATGCTCTGCTACATGCTGTAATAGGATAATCTGTTTTACTTCAGTATTGACTTGTGTGTGTCATGGTTCTAATTGTATAATGTGGGTTAATTCAAAAAAATTATCTGCTCAGACACCCAAGAGCAATTGATGTATTACTTATTGAGGCTGGGTATTAACTTCTAATTCCAAAACTGTGCTGCTGTGTGTATACTCACTCTCATCCTGTCCTGTTTAACATCATCCCTCTTACCAGTCACTCAGATTGGATCCCAGCTCAGCAATGTCACAGCTTTAGAATTCTTAACCTTGCATTCAAGTCTCTTCAAGGCCTGCCCCTCCTGACCTCCCTTATCTTCTGAAGCTGTAAAGCCTCTGGGAATCTTTGCATTCCTCCATTTCTGGTTCTGTTGTGTGGTCCTGGTTTTCGTTACTCTGTTATAGAAGACCCTGCCTTCAGCCATACAGGCCCTCACCTCCGGAATTTTTTCCCTAAACCTTTCCACCTTTTCCTTTGTAAACTTACTTTTTTAATCAAGAACTTGTGCACTTGTTCCATTCTCATTTTATTTTTAAAATTCACTTTTATATTTGCAGTTAGCATTTGGATATTGTTGGTAAGGTTCCAGCCCTAATTGTCCTTGAGGTGGTGTGGTGAGTTGCTGGTTTGAACCACTGCAATCCATGTGGGATAGAGCCACCCACAATGCTGCAGGGAGGAAGCTCAGGAGTGACAGTGAAGGAATAGCAATGCAGTTCCAAATCCAAATGGTGAGTGACAGAGAGGGGGTCTTGCAGCTGGTGGTGTTTCTATGCATCTTGTCCTTCTTAGTGGTAGATGTCATGGTTTTGGAAGGTGCTGTTGAAGGAGCCTTAGTGAGTTTCTGCGATGAATCTTATAGATGATACACAGTTTATTATTTGTAGATTAAGTGGGTTGTAGGGCATTGTGTCTGGGTGGGATGCTCTGAGGACCGGTGTGGACTTGTTGGGCCGAAGGGCCTGCTTCCACACTGGAGGGATTCTATGAATTCTATGAAAAAAAAAGTTCCCATTCTTCTGGTGGTGTTTCCAGTGAATGTTTAAGGTAGTGGATGTGTTCTGTTATCTACATTACTTAACAAATTGCTGGAGACTGAGTACAGGCTTTACAATTGTTTTATTCAAGTGACAAAGGGAGAGATTTGCCTTAAATAAACACTGAAGTGAACTCTGAATCATACAGAAAAGTTGAGTATCTTTATACCATAAGCAACTCATTATCCAAATTCCAATCTTACCTCATACAGACAAAAGAATAGAAGTGTCCATTCCAGGTTATGGACACCAGTCAGGGAATAGTTAATCTTTATCCTGGATGTTGCTGCCTCTCCCTTCGTTATCAATGTTACTTCTCTCTGTCTCTCTTTCTTTCTCTGTTTCTCTTTATCTCTCTCTGTCAGTCTCTCTCTCTTTCTCTCTTTGTTTCTTTCTCTTTCTTTCTCTGTTTTTCTGTGTGTTTGTCTGTCTCTCTTTGTTTCTCTCCAAGGCCTTCTTAGAATGCTTTTATTAATATTACCTTCTATTTAAACATGTGCCTACAGAATTCCTGCTAACTCTAGCCTGTGGGAGTTATTGTGTCAGGTTGTCTTTCATGCTTTCCACAGTTTGGACATTGACAGTTCCTTTTTATGTATTTCAACCAGCTCTACCTGCCCATTGTTGCTGGCACCTATGTGTGTAAACACACTGAATAGTTATACATGGACATGATCGACTACTTGTATTGAAACTCTTTGCTCTACATGGTAATACAATATCTCCCATCACCCATGTATGTGATTTTCTCCTGCAATGAGACAAAGGGAAGAATTGAGTGAGATGGAATTGGCTGGCACATTGTTAGTACTGTTACAAGAGGTGGTGAGGTGTCCTGAGAGAGTGAGTAGGAAGCACAGAGGGTAGGAAGAGTTGGTAGTTTGGGGGGAATGGGGGGAGTGAGAGCCATTGATGAAAGATGCTGCATGCAATGGTCAGACTGTTAAAGTTTAGCCTTGGTGGGAGGTGGGAACAGCAACAGAGTTAGAGTAACGTGAGGGAGCAGAGAGAAGATGGTGGCTGTTGCCGTTGCAGAACACAAAGGCAATTGCACAGCTCAACATTCCTCCAGACTGTGGAAATTTTTTTTTTCCTTTATTCATTTATGGGATGTGGGCAATGCTGGCTGGCAAATGGCAGTGACTGGGCTGGCAACATCAGACCAGGCTGGCAGGGTCTGGTGCCATGGTCTCCTTTGATGGCCCTGAGGCAAGAGGACAGCCCTTCTCTTCACTACCCCATCCATAGGACTCCCAGATTCCTGTCCATGAACCGGGATGTCTGTTTGCCTCTGCTGGCCGTGTCTGGTGACAATCTTCACCCGCTCATTGTCAGTTGTTGGAAAAAAAGGCCCCACCTGGGTCATTAATGTCCTTTAGGGAGGGAAACTTCTGTCTTTACCTGGTCTGGGCTACATGTGCCTCCAGACCCACTGCAATGTGGTTGACTCTTAACTGTCCTCTGGGCAATTAGGGATGGGCAGACAATGCTGATCTAGCCAGTGTGCCCATATTCTATGAATGAATTTTTAAAAAACTCAAGTTGTGAAAGGCAATTCCTGGTGCCAGTATTTGAATAGTGCACAGCTGAGATTTAAATATGGCACTGGTGGCATTGACGCTAGAGTGGCAAGCACTTTTACTGCAGCTGAGCACAAGGTAGCATCAGAGTGGCGCAGCAGAGTTGTGGTGCGTGCCTAATGAGGCGAGCACCATGGAACTGTAAAGGTAAACTCACTAGGACTCACAGAGAGAAAGCTCCCATGAAACTCCCTGAAATTGGGGCTGAATTTTCCTGAAATGTGGTTATGTTTTTATTACCAATAGTAACTTGTTATTCCAGGTTTTGAACAATTAATTAAGTTTTAAATTCCTCAACTGCCATGTTGGGATTTTGTGTTTGTGCCTCTGGGTTTTTAGTTTAATATCATAACCTTCTGCTTCTGTGCTTGTCCTTGTGGTGATTTAAATTTAGCTACTGTAAAGTGACTTGGTGATATTTTAACTTGTGTTGGTGGCTATAAACATAACCTATTTATTTTTTTTCTGTTTCAATTGCAGAGATTTTGATTCTCTTAAGAAAGAAGATGTCTATGAAAATAATAAGTTGGTAAGTAGCACTCTGTGAGACAGAAAAAAAACCCTTCTTGTTAAATTTCCTTTCATGGTTAGTTTAATGTTGCATGCTGGGTGGATACATTTTTGGTAATGAAACATGTACAGAATGGCTCTACACATTTCCACAGCAATGTTAATCCAGGCTTCTACTGGTTGTGTTGAATGTAGAAAATCTGTGACAATATTAGCAGAGGAGCAGTGAGTTCTCATGATACCCGGGCCAGCATTCTTCCCGCAAACACCAAAGACAGATACACTGCTGCTTGCGGGACCTCAGACACGGCAATTTATCCTCACTCAGGATCTCATGGGAGAGCTGTGAAATTTTGTGACATTTCTGCTGCTGACATTTGCAGAGCTGTGTTAGCATACTCACTGTCTACTGATTCTTGATGTGGTTACAAGCAGCAGCTCTGTAAGGCTCTGAAGCTGCTGCTTGTTTTGTGTGTACCTTGCCTTTGAGAGAACACACCATTAGAATTCGGTTTTATTGTCACATGTACTCAAGTATAGGGAAACGTGAGTACTGCGAAAAGTGTACACAGTCTCCATTTCTTGTGCCATCTCAGGTACAAAGGTGCCTAGGTACAAAATCTTACGTATAAATTAGAAAAAAAAAGGAATTACAGCCTTCTAAAGCAGAGAAAGAGAGAAAAAGATAAAAGTAGATGGAGCAGATGAGTCTACGCTGTGTGTGTACACAATGTTGAGACTCTACCTGCCAGTTAGTCTGCTTCAGGTTTGCAACCCTTGCACAAAGAAACCAGCTGTAATGCCAGAGTGCTAGTTACAAAATGTGTCTCACTTTGTTAAATCAACTAACCCAAACTAACCAATAACAAGTGATCATTTATTGGACTGTTATCATTAACATGACACGACTAGGCAGTTTTTCAGAGAGGCAAATATCTTGCGGGGCAATATGTTACTGCCCTCATCATAGAGACGCAGAGTCTTACAGCATGGAAACAGGCTCTTTGGACCAATGGGTCTATGCCAATCATGTTTCCTAAACTGAACTAGTCTTATTTGCCTGTTTTTGGCCCATATCCCCCTAAATCTTCCCATTCACATGTCTGTACAAATATCTCTTAAATGTTGTAATTGTACCTGCCTCTACCTCTGTGTTTTGAATGATTCAAATGTAGATGTCATAATAGCTACTCCACTAATGTTCTAACATGTTAATTCATTAAGTTGGAACACGTAAATTAGATTTTAGGAGACAGCAGTTTCAATCAATAGGCACTGTGATGGGAGGGTGGATCTTTCGTCAAGATATGCAGGGGGAACAAGTAGGATTTTTAACAAAGATTTCTTTTGTAAACCATAGCATTTTCAAAAGCAGTAGTTTTCTTTTGTAAAGAACTTTGAGCAGTTTGTGATTAAATAAGCCATGAGTGAGGTTTATGAATTGACGCCTGGATTTTACAGGGCAGGGACATGGATTTCTTGATTCCCCTCTCCATTCCCAAATTCTCCTCTTAAGAAGTTGGTTATGAACTGACCAGCAACTCACTGCCAGTGTCTGAATTAGCAGAGAGTGACGCGCCAGCCTCTCAGTCTCACAGTGCAGAGAGCAATAGATCCTGGATTCAAATGAGTCTGGGGATTTTTGGGCTAGGCGTGTTCAGGCACCTTGGGGCAGGAAGGGTGGTGGAGGTTGTGTGAGGGGGGCAGATTTTGGAGACCAGGTAGGGGGACACCAAGATGGGGGGGGATATCATCTTGTGGGGCTAGTGGTACCCTATTACACACAGGATACCTGCCAAAGGATGCACTCCACTCTTCCTATCTGCTTTTTCACGTCAAATGCAGATTTTCCACTTGCCTGCTTAGTATTAGCTGTAAGGAGAGGTTGAACAAACTGGATTGTTTTCGCTGGAGCGTCAGAGGCTGAGGGGACATGTATGGCTTGAACGGTCGGCGCTTTTTTCTGAGGGTGGAAATGTCAAATACTAGGAGCATAGGTTTAAGGTGAGAGAGGGAAAGTTTGAAGAAGATGTTCGAGGCAAGTTCTTTACACAGAGGATGGTTGGTGCCTGGAATGTGCTGCCATGGGTGGTGGTAGAAGCAGATACGATGGCAACGTTTAAGAGACATTTGGATATGAACCGCATGTGGGCAGATGGGGTAATTTAGAATGGAACCATGGTCAGCACAGACACGGTGGACCAGAGCCTGTTCCTGTGCTGTACTGTTCTATGTATTAGCCTTTATTATTAGAAAAATTGATAAACTTAAGGAATGTTGTGCTTTTGTTATACAGGGCATTGGTGAGACCACATCTTGAATATTTTGTACAGTCTTGGTCTCCTTATTTAAGGAAGGATGTAAATGCTTTCGTGGCAGCTGTGGTCCAGAAGATATTTATTAGATTGGTTCCTGGACTTTATCATGTTGTCTTATGAGGAAAGATTGTACAGGGTTTTCACTAGAGTTCAGAAGTCTGACGGTGTTTTGATTTAAGCTTATGTGATTGTGAATGGCTTTGACAAGGTGAATGTGAAGAGGAATTTTTATTTTTGTGCATGAATTACGAAACACTGTTTAAAAATTAAATGTTGCCCTTTAAGTATAGAATGATTTTCTCAGGGATGTGTGACTTTGTGGCACTCTGTCCCAGAGGCCAGTAGAGGCGCAGTATTTGAATACTTTGAAGGTAGAGCTGGATAGGTTCTTGTTAGACAGGGGAAGTGGTGGTTATCATTGATGGATGGGAATGTGGAATTTGGAGTTGAAACAGATCAGCCATGATCTTATTGAATGGTGAAGCAGGCTTGCGGGCCAAATGGCTTACCTAGAGGCATAGAGTCATACAATTCTGTAGCATGAAAGGTGGCCCTTCAGCCCATCATATCTACATCAATCATCAAGCACCTATCTACTCTTTCTCCAGCCTTGTATGTTATGGCACTTCAAGTGATCATCTAAATACTTATTAAATAATGTGATGGTCCCACCTCTACTGCCCTTTCAGGCCCTGTGTTCCAGGTATCCACCACTTTTTGGTGAAAGGATTCTTTCTTAAATCCCCTCCAACATACCTGTTCTTTACCTTAAAACTATGCTTTCTGAATACTGATCCCCCTCCTAAGGGCAAATACATCTTCTTATCTACCCTATCTCAGCCCATTTATAATGTTGAGCACCACAGTCAGGTGCCCTGGAAATATCCTGATGAATCTCCTCTGCGCTGTCTCTAGTGCAATCACTTTTCTTGTAGTGTGCTGACCAGAACTGCGCACAATGCTCCAGTTGTGGTCTAATTAATTTTATATACAGCTCCAGCATAACCTCCTGGCTTTTGTATTCAATGCATTGTCCAATAAAGGCAGTATCCCATTTATCTTCTTGAAATTCTGATCCACCTTCAATGTTCTGTGGACGTTCACACCAAGGTCTGTTTGATCCTCTGTACTTCCTGTGGTCCTACCATTCATTGTGCACTCCCTTGCCACCTAGTCCTCCCAAAATGCATCACTTCACACTTTTCAGGGGTAAATTCCCATTTCCACCATTCAGCCCATCTGACCAGCTTGCCTGCTTTCTGCTCTTAACCTGCATGTTTGTATGTTCACTCCACCTGTGTGGCAGAAATACTTTGGAAAGTTTTAGGGTGATGTTCATTGCGTGCTGGGAGTTAATGCTCTGTTCAAGCAGAATCCATATCTTTGTGAAAATGCACGACAACCTGTTTGACAGATACTTTGCCTGATTGTTTTATTGCATAACCGTGGGTTGAACTTTGCTTTCAATCCCTTTTACAGTTTTATTGATATGACTACTTAGCAAGTAAATGAAAAGCAGCTGACTGATAGCTTTCCTGATCCTATCTGGACTACTGTGTGCTTTTCCAGTCACCTCAGCACAGGAAGTATATCACTGCCCTTGGCTCCAGCATTGAAGATGATTCTAAGCACCAGGAATTTGAGCTATAATAAAGAAAAATGAATTCCTGTTTTGGAAGAAGAATGTAATGCTCTATGTTGGTTTAATTCAGCTTTGCAAAGTAAATTGGAGTATAAAAAAATGGAGACTGCAAAAACACATCAGGGGAGTCAGAAGCCAAATTACCTCATAGGACAAGTCAAGGATGGTTTTGGAAACAAATGGGTACAAAAAAACTTCAAAATCAAACATCTCGCAGCAGAGAAGCAGGGACTGCAGCCAATTTTTATGAGAGCTCTGCCTTTTTGCGAAGATATATGGTTGGAAATGTCATAGCGTCATACAGCATGGAAATAGACCCTTCGGTCCAACTTATCCATGCCAACCATTGGTTTTCCAAACTAAACTAGTCCCACTTGCCTGTGCTTGGCTTATATCTGTCTAAACCTTTCCTATTCATGTACCTGTCCAAATGTCATTTAAATATTGTAACTACACCTGCATCTGCCACTTCCTCTGGCAGTTCATTCCACATACAAACCACCCTCTGTGTGAAAAAGTTACCCTTCAGGTCCCTTTTAAATCTTTCTCCTTTCACCTTAAAATTATGCCCTCTATTGAACTCCCCTACCCTAGGGAAAAGACCTTTGCTATTCACCTTATCTGTGCCCCCCCCAGGATTTTATAAACCTCTATAAGGTCGCCCCTCAACCTCCTATGCTCCAGCCTCTCCTAATAACTCAAACAATCCAGTCCTGGCAATGTCCTGGTAAATCTTTTCTGAACCCTCTCCAATTTAACAATAACCTGAATTATGTACCTGAAGCCCTAGGTCTCTCTTTTCGACAACACTCCTCAGGGCCCTACCATTAATTGCTTGTTTTACCAAAATGCATTACGTCACATTTATCTAAATTAATCTCCACCTGCCACTCCTCAGCCCATTGGACCAATTGATCAAGATCCCTTTGGACTCTCAAGTAACCTTCTTCACTGTCTACTATAGCACCAGTTTTGGTGTCGTCCGCAAACTTACCAGCCATGCTTCTTATATTCTCATCCAAATTGTTGACAAACAACAGTGGACACAGCATTGATCCC